AGCCGGGCCCGCCCGGGCGCTCGCGATCGAGCCAGCCGCAGGTAAGGGCCAGAGCCTGCGTGTTTCCATGGCCCCGCCCCTATACGTGGCCCCGCCCCCCACATGATCCCGCCCGCACCGCCCAGACCTTTCTCCTAGGCTCTTTCTCCACCCACTTTGCCTCCGGCCCTAACTTCTGGATGTGGCTCCGCCCTCTAGACCCCAACCTCGCCTTACGCCCAGCTTTCAGGCTCTGACCCACAACCTTGGGCCCCGCCCGATTTCTGTCCCCTTCCCTCTACCCCCAGTAAGCTTTCCCGCCAGAGCGCCACGGAGATCCCGCTGCCCATGCTGCCTCTGGCCGAGACGGAGAAGCTGATCCGCGAGAAAGACGAAGAGGTGAGCAGGCACCTCGCTTTCCCCTGATCGAGGTCTCAGATCCCTCCCTGGCCTAGCCTGGTCCCACCACCTGCAATCTTGCCCTGTACAGCTGCGTCGCATGCAAGAGATGCTGGAGAAGATGCAGGCCCAGATGCAGCAGAGCCAGGCTCAAGGAGAACAGTCGGACGCTCTCTGAGGCTCTAGCCCCGACCGTCTTACCTCGGCTCCGCCTTCAGTCCGTCTCTTGTCCAATCCTCAGGCCCCAGGCTGCCCAACACCTAATCCCGGAGCCCCAGCCGGTTGGCCCGCCTTGCTCTGGCTCTCTGTAGGTTCTCTGGCTAAACGGTTCTCCCCAGTCCCCGAGTTTGTAGCCCCGCCCCGGCTGCCTTGGCTCCACCCCCAGCCCGCTCTGCGCCCACTCCAATCCAGCCCAGGACCGCCCTCTCCTAGCTTCGGGCGTCTCCCTCTTCAGGCAGCTTGTTTAATAAAAACAAGGAGCTTCTTTGAGGCCACGTGAGTCTTCTTCCCAGCGGGGACAAGCGGCGGCCTAGCCTCCGCATGCAGGCCTCCAGGGCACCACGCATCCTGCGTGCCGGGTGGTGCTTCCGCCAGCCTCCCACCTGAAGCCCTCTCACACTGACACACAGAAGCCGCCGCCGCTAAGAAACAAAGACCAGTTCAATTTTATTGGGAATGGGGGGGTCGAGGTCGGACTGGCTGCAAGCTTTGGCCGGTAGAGGACTAAGAGAGCCCCCTACTCCTGGTCCTTGGCGTCGCCGTGCGTGATGACGTAGCAGATGTTCTTGTAGTCGACGTTGCCGCCCACGTCTGGGGGAAAAGCTGCCCACATGTTCTTGATCTGCGGGAAGACACAGGGGCGTCTCCTACTGACTCTTATGCTCCCCTTCCTCCCTCCTCTGTCCCTTCGCTTCTCCTGGCCCCTCCCCCACTCACCTCCTCCTGGGAGAAGCGGTCACACTGCGTGGTTAGCAGCTCCTCCAGGCTGGAGAGAAGAGTCATGCGGGAAGTTGAAGCTCATGGTTCATTTCCACTCCCTCCCACGTCATCCCATGGCTGCTCTAAGTCGCCCATCGGCCTCCCTAACTCTCTGGCCTCCCCCTCACTTTGCGGTGAACCTGTCATCCTCTAGCCCGTTTCCACAGCCCTAATTACTCCCTCCCCTCTGGAAGTGCTGTGCAGTCTGTAGGAATTTCAGGAGGCTATCCACGTGGGAGCAGCTGGAGGGGCCACTTACAACTGCTTCTTGATAGTGCCCTTCCCTTCAGGGTCCAGGACCTTGAAGGCTCCAGTAATCACATCCTCAGGGTCGGCACCTGGGGAGGGGGTCAGTGGATCAAGGGTCCTTGAAGGGTCTCTATCTTTGAGAAGTCTGGGAAGGGGCAGGTGGGGCCCCAGGACACTTCACTCACCCTTGAGCTTCTCCCCAAACATGGTCAGGAAGACCGTGAAATTGATGGGACCACTGGCTTCCTTCATCATGGCATCCAGCTCTTCATTCTTCACGTTGAGGCGGCCTGAAGGGGTTGAGAGAAGCATGGGATTGAACAGTGCGTCCTGGGGCCAGGGCTGTGATTCTCATAAATTTGGATCATTCTACCCATTTTCAGCTGGGTAGACTGAGGCCGGAGATGATACCACTGAAACCCAAGGCCACTGAATTCCTTGGACTCTGCAGTCTTGAATATTTATAGTTTGGGGCAGATGCTCACCCATAGCTGCGAAGGTGTCCCGAAGGTCCTCCTTGTCGATAATGCCATCGCGGTTCTGGTCAATTACCGTGAAGGCCTGCAGATGGCAGGACAGGGAGAGGACTGGGTCACCCCTGACCAGGATGCAGTGTTTCTTCCCCAGGCAGATCAGATTCTGGCCCCCCTCCAGCTGTCTTCCGCTGAGGAAGGAATTCTAAACTATCCCCTCCCCCTAGACAGGTGCACATTCCAGGGAGGAGGTTGTTGGGGGAGGGCAGCAGGGGGTTCCTTTGGTCAGCCTTCAGTCTCCCCTCTCCCCTCATTCACCTCCTTGAACTCCTGAATCTGAGTCTGGTCGAACATGGAGAAGACATTGGAGCTTCCGCCCTCTGCTGCTGCCCTTCTCTTGGCCTTCTTGGGTGCCTGGAGGGTGAGGGTGGGGCAGAGGGGTCCCTGAATCAGTCCTTACACCTTTCTGGGGGCAATGGGTGACATTTAGAGTTCTTTGAGCAACTCTTCTGGCTTAGGACCTGTCCTCCTTCCCTCCTTGGGACCTCTTTGCTGAGGGACTTGCTTGGGGTTGTACCCGCCAGACTCCCATCTTCAGCTCCTGAGCCCCATCTCTCTAACCTACCCAACAGGTAGGAACTTCCTTCCCCTCTCAGAGGAGTCTGCCAGACTCCTTGAGCCCCAAATGGTTGTGTGACCCTGATCTATTCACTCACTGACCCTATTTGAACCTCTACTTTCTCGTTTATATTAGGTCATCAGAAAAGTCATGACGTGTTTTTCTAGGCAAAAATGCATCATGACTTTTCCAACGATCTAATAAAATGTGAGTAGGAATCCTTGTCTGATTGGTCCCACCCAAAAGACATTAGGAAGATCGGAGTGGGACGGGCTTTGAGGGGGACTGGACTTCTGTGAGTGGAGTATCTGGGGAGACATCCTTGGTTGAGTCCCTTAGGCCATCGCTCTGTCTGCTGCCCATTAGCAATACCATGAAAGGGAGGAGTCGTTTTAAAAAAATTCTTTTTTTTAGATTTTTGTCATAGGATCCATGTACTCGCTGGAGAGAGACAGAGAGAGAGGAAGAGTGAAATCACTCCCCGTTGGGATGGCCACACCACAATCCCTTCTCCATTCTCCTCTCAGGATTTTTGGACACACACATACAAGCACTTGATATGTCTTGAAGCTGCTGGGTCCAGGGCTCGAACCTTGGAGTCGGCTATGTGAGATCCAGCACCTTAGCCACTATGCCACCTGCTGGCCTGGAGTCATCTTTTTACCTGTTGTTGGACTGGGAAGCAGCTACTTTCCTTCAAAGGGTGAGGCTACTCTGAGGACTCAGGTGGACAAGAGCTGAGGGGTTCTTACTCACCATGTCTTCGGTCTCCTGGGGGCAAGGCAGTGGCTCTGGCTGGAAAGAAGCAGAGAGTCAGCCCGGGGCAATCCCTCTGGGGTTATATAGTCCTGCTCCAGGGAGCCCTTAACATACCAGGGTAACCTTAGCCCAGCGGGTGCCCACCCCAGATACCAAAATAGCCCAGCTCAGGGCCTCTCCTTTCTTGGAGGCCTGCAGCAGCTGGAACCCAGGGAGGGAGGGAGGAAGGAGTGGGTCTTGGGATGCATGTCTCACTAAGACCTGGGCAGGAAGGGATGTTCTTTCTCCCTAAACGGGGCTGGAATTGCTTACCAGAGGGGGTCCAAGCCAAGGCACAGTTCTCGGAGAGAGATGAACCAGGCCCCTATACCCCTGGGCAGGGTGAGTCCAGATTTAAACCCAGGAAACATTTATTGAGCACCTCCAGTGGGCCATGTTCTGGACTGGGATTCATGGGTGCAGTTTGGGACACACAGTCTCCTCTACCACCACCCTCGTGGAGTTCATAGTCAGGCATGGTATGTGTGGGGCCCCAGGGTGGCAGAAGTTAAAGTTGTGAGAGAGCCATCTGTAGAAGCTGGAGGCTCAGAAAGGAGCATTTTGTGAGAAAAGATGCTCTGTGATCTTGGGCTTTTTGCCTCAACCCCTGGGCCTTGGATTTCCTTCTGTCAAATGGAGATGTAGGGCCAGCAGGTGGTGTGATGGTTAAAGGCGCTGGACTCCCACATGGCCGACTGCTGTGTGAGTCCCAGACCTGGTGACTTGCTTTCTCACTTTCTTTCTCCCTGTCCCTCTCTGGTATAATGTAAATAAACAAACAAGTAAACTTAAATAAAATTCTTAAAAAAAAAAATAAGATGGAGATGTAATTCCCACCCCACAGAACTTGCATTATAATTAACAGTTAGGACCTGTTTTGACAGAGCTTATTCCAGCCAAAGAGACAGGAATAAATGCAGAAAATGATCTATCAGTTCATCAGGAGCTCAGGAGAGCAGCCCTGTCTAGGCTGCTAGAAGCCATTCCCATATGCCAAGTATGGGAATGGCTTCATGAAAGCCAGCAGAAGTGAGTCAGGTGAAGGTGGAGAGATAGGTATGCCAGGCGAAGGGCGCAGTACTACGAGCAAAGGCCTGGAGAGTGAAAGATCAGTGTTTGAGTGGCCAGAATTGTGATGGGGCTGGACTAGAGGATGCAAGGGGCTGATGACTAGACACTGGTGGCACCTTCAGTGCCAGGCTGAAGACAGAGCCTAGGAAAGGTTTGAAGCAGGAGAAGGACATGACCTAATATAAGTCTAGAATCATTTCTCTGGATTCCAGTATGGAGGCTGGAACTCAGGAAGAGAAGAACAGATACTAAGAAGAATTCTAACTGACTGCCTCTTCCTAGGTGACTGAGATGGTCAGTGGCTCCCCTCTCTCTTTCTTTTTAAAATTATTTATTTATTTAATTCCATTTGTTTGTTATTATTATTATTACTATTTTTCATTTGACCAGAGAGAGACAGAGAGAAAAGGAAAGTGAGAAAGCAAGCCACTAGGTCTGGGACTCAAACTGAAGCCGGCCATGTGGGAATACAACACCTTTAACCACCATGCCGCCTGCTGGCCCCAGTGGCTTTTCTCTTTATTCTGGGTAAGCAGCAGCTTGCCTGACTATGTGATTCTGAGGTACCCTTTCCTACTGCTCTGTGTCTCCAATCCTCTCCATGCCGTGGAAGTCTGGGGAAACAGTGGCCAAGGAAGCCCTAGGTTGGCAAGGACACTCATCTCTTCTTCCTGCTCCCTCTAGGACCTGATGAAGGTGCCTTTTCCCTCCCCCCTCCTCCAGTCCATGCCAATGCCTCTAAGACATTTTCTTTTCTGGGCATGGGGGCCTAGCCACCTGTTGTCTCTAAGACGAGAGAAGGAGCCACCCTAAACTTAGCAGCTGCCCTTGGCCTCCCACACTGGCCCCTCCCGTCCTCAGATGGCAGCTGCTTTGCCTTATACGGTTACCATGGGGGTCTAAGCTAGGGAGGAGCCCACTGATTACTGGGTTCTGGGAGGGGAAGAGGACTCCAAAAAGGGGAATGGGGGCAGTGCTCAGGAAGCTTGGGTCAAATGGAAGGTAGGGAGGTTGAGAAGGAGACCAGACACTGAATGGAAGTTCACAGGATCTGGGTCTTGAGTTGGGAGTGAGGAGCCTCAGAGAACTCGAAAACCAAGGAGGACCTGGGAAGTTGGCGGCTTGGTCTGGAATTTTAGGACGGTGGATGCTGTATGGAAATTGGGACCCCCTAATCTTGGGCTCAGGACAATGGGGGTCAGAGAGAGGATGGGAGTGTTTGGAAGTTGGAAGGTTGGAGCCCATAAGGTCAGGTCTTTATGTTTTTGGTCTAAGTGTAACCTGGGAGGCTCATGAGATTGGGGTCTGGGTTCTTAGGAGAAAAAGAAGAACACAGAGAAATGTGGCAATGAAGGAGAGGGCTTGATGGGACTGGAGTCCTGGATCCCTAAAAGAATAGGAACACAGATAGGAGTTCATGGTGTTAGAGATTCATGGATTTGAGGGCTGAGATTCCCGCTAGAATGGTGGGGTACTCAGAGGGATGAGGTCTGAGAAACTGGAACCTGGGTTCTGGGTAAAAGCTCAGATGGATGGGGCTCTGCTCGGTATTTCAATGGGAAATGGGGAATACAGAGAGGTCTGTCATTTAGAGGATTTGGGAGCTCTGGCTATAGCCGCCTGGCCTTGGAACGTTGGGGTTGGTTGGGGACTGAGACTGAAGAATTTGAGACAGTGAAGGTCAAGAGTACTGGATCAATGCAGTGGATCCATAATGGAGTTCAGTTCTCCACAGACCACAACAGGGGAGGTGTGGGATCACGAGCTGAATGGAGAATGAGAGCCCGGCAAGAACTCAGGAAGGGCAGTGCAGGGCACTCTCACTGGCTAAAGGATGCATTAATGCCCCTGGCCCCCTCTTCGCGCTGTCCCCAACTGTCACCCCTCTCTTGCGCTTGTCTCCGGTTGTCACCAACTATCCCTGGACTGACACTGCCTCCTGGCAGCATCCCTGTCCTTTCGATGCTACCATTGGCTGAGACAGCTATCTGTCTTCCTTCCCTGTTGCTAAAGTGGGAGAACGCAATCATTGGCTAACAAGGCAAAGGAATCGCAAATTTGGTTCCGCCTCCTCCCCTCAGCTGTTAGTTCTTCCTGACCATCTTGGGAGGCCTAAAGAATTCCTCAGCTCCTCCTATTGATTGCGGATGCTGTCCGTCACCGCCCAAGTAGACATCACTGTCTGTCAATTTGACCTCCGCCTACTTCCCTTTTCATTGGCTCCCTTTTTAGCGTCTCTGTTAGCCAGGCTCCCAGGCCCCGCCTCTTACTCGCACAGCGCTTGCCTCCTTCCCCGTTTTTCCGCGGTCATTCACTCTTCCGCCATGCTTATTGGACGGAAGGTGCGAGCGCCCGCATTTCCATTGGTTACTTCCTTCGTCCACCTCCTCAGGTGTCCACTCGCTCTCTGATTGGCTTTACAGCCCTCCGCCTTCTCCGTTTCCTCCTTCCAGATTGCCCACCTCCTTCCCTCCTCCATCTCCACCCACCCTTCCAACCATTGGCAGAAACCCAGTTCCCTCTCTTCTGTTATTCGTCCAAGTCTTCTGACTAGGCGGGAGAAAAAAGGAGCGCGATGGGCCAGCCCGCGCGCAGGCGTGAAACGCCGGAACGCTGGCCGCTAAGCCGGCTGTACAGTGTGTGCGCAGGCGCGAGGTCGGCAGCTCGCCCCGGGAGGGAGGGAGGGGGCTGCGGCGAGAGCGCGCGAGGGGGGTTAGAGGGCGCGAGCGGGACCCC